TGTGGAGAGTTAGGCGCCCAGACCACTAGGCTACAAGACCCTAACCCTAAAGTTTTAGTATATATTAAAAAATGCTATAGCCAAATTTTGGTTTGAATTTTAAATGAAGATTTTTTAATAATCACTTAGGCCATATAAATTTATATGATTGGTTTTCATATCTCGCCCGCGTCAACAAAGTGAGAATTGAAAAAAATTTTTTTTTTATATAGTTAACCAATAAAAATTCTCCATTTGATAATCATGTACTATGGAGAATATTCGGGTATACAGGTACAGTATATTATATACTGGTAAAAGACCCCAAGCTTTATTAAATTTTGTTTATCTGTCACTGATAATATACCCGGTCTTGTACTAAATATACAGATAATAAGACTGGTAGCATACCTGGTATAAATCAAGAGGGGTATAGTCAACAGGAGGGTACTCTACAAGGCAAAAGATGGTAATAAAGCAGATATGCTTTATCAGTTATAGGATGATATTCATATCTGATATAATTGGCTAATTTACGTGTCATTTTGTTAGTAAGGATTACAGATTAGATACTGCCAATCAAAAAAATTGTGTATTCAAATATTCATCTGTTCAATTTTTTATTTATCAAAAATTCAAATAAATATCCGAATATCCAATGAATGGTTAGCGAAGTCGTAATACAGAAAATCCATTTTACTAATAGGACATAATTAGATCAATCCGCCGATATCTATTTCATTCCACCGACAAGTTTCTTTTAAAAATTGTACTAACCTTAGCTCTAATTCTAAACCTGACACTAACAACAATGACCGAAATTACTTTGTCAGTGAAATAAACTGTCAGTGACCTAAGCTATTGGTGAACAGAACTCGAAATGGTCTTGGCAGGAAAAAGGGATATCAGAATTAAGGAGTCGGAGAAATAGCATTTCAGGAAGGTGAACTTCAGGAAAACGAGCAACAACACCAATAAATATTCACTGGATATCATAGTGATTAGTGGCTTGTGAATTTTTTATTATTTTTTTACTTTTTTATAGGTAAAACACATAAAGCTCATAGGTAAGACTTCCGCACTTTCTTTAGCAGTTTTATAATTAGGTGCTCTATCGTTTATGACTAAATTGCACTTTTTGTTTGGTAATTGATTTCAAAAAATCGACTTTAGTTAGTCAATACAATAATCGACTAGTTGATTAATAAACACTCTATAAGTACGGCATAACAGTGGGGTGTTAAAAGGTAACAGGTGATATGAATATCTGTATAGTATGGGCAGTCTGGTATAGGCCAAATTTTAAAATCGTACTATACTGATCTGGTATTATATATATATAGTTAGGAATTATAGCAGATCAGTATGGTTCTAAATTTTGTCCTGTACCATACTGATCCGGTCACTCGTACTATATTCTGTAATCCAGAGTCAATAGGTAACTTTTTTATTGCAGAAGAATATTTTGTGAATTCTAATATGTAATTTTCAACTCTAATTGTAGATCTGTACGCTCTACCTAACCAGATCAGCATAATATCGATAACCAGAATATTGTATAGTATGTATGATTGATCGGATCCGGAGGTGTAAATACCTACTTTAAAAACTATACTGATACTATACTAATCGGCTATAATTTCTAACCCTAATAATATGTAGCACCGGATCAGTATGGTACTGATTTTAGAATTGGTTACTTTACACCTCTATACTATATAGGGTCTGGCCATCCATATGGGGAAAGCCAGCCTTCGGCACTTTTTAATCGATTTCAAGATTTTCATTCAAGTTGACGAACATACATGCGTACGTACAGTCAATGGATCGAAAAGATAGCTAAGCGCCTGGGGTGTTTCACACCAAATGATTTACTATCATAGTGTAGCACAATATGATTGGCGCACTATATAAGATTCTTTGAAAATTTGTCGATCACTTTTTTTTTTCATAGAAATATATTATCAATTTTAAAATGTTATAACTCTTTTTTTACCTAAGCAAATCTAGTACAGTTAGTGTTGTACATGGACATATGTCCAAGCAAATTATTGGACATGGACAGTCCATGGACACAATGTCCAATGTTCATGTCCATGGATATGGACATATTTTTATATGTTCATGGATATGAACATCCATATTTTTATATGTCCATGTCCATTGACAATACTGAGTACAGTGACTTACAGATTATATATAAAATTAACGTGGCTACAAAACTATGTTGCCAAATTTTCAATTTACTTATAAAATTTATCAATTTTCGAAGTAAAAATTGGTAAATTTGATAAATAAATTGAAAATTTGGCAAATAGTTTTAAAGCCATGATAATTTTATGCATAACCTGTAAGTTACAATACTAGATTTGCTTATCTGTTATGTAAAAGAGTTATAACATTTTAAAGTTTGCAATATATTCTATAAAAAAAAAAAATCTTACATAGTGCGCCAATCATATTGTATTGCACTATGATAGTAAATCATTTGGTGTGAAACACACTTGTGGGGCCCAGGCCAGCGTCCAAGTCACGAGCTGGGGTGGCAGATTCAAGACAGCATATGAAAATCTGCGTCCGGGCACAAAGGTACAGGTGAGTATGACCTAAATCACCTTTCGCAAACAGTAACTACTAACCCACGATCAGGATTAACGTATGAAGAATCAAATAAGAAGCGAAAGACAGTCCCAGCTCCCATGCCAAGAGCATTTGGTCCGCTGCAAGAAGCAAACCATCTTCGCAACCCAATCCCTCCTACCCATAATAAATGCTAAACTCTTATGCACGTATTCTCATTAACAACCGGCATTATGCAGGTGACTGCTTATGGTAATGTCTGGCACAATCTTGATTGCTATTTCCGGGAGCATACTGTTTTAGCGTCAATTATTGGGGTGTGCAATGTTAAATGATCAACAAAGATAACTCATACAGTATGGTAAATTAATATGATAGGGTTTTTTGCCGATTATCACTTAGATAGTAACTACTATTTCTGAACCAGCATGTCTATAAAAATAAAAATATAATTTTCGGAATTTTCTCGACATGCTCTATAACGCTATGGCGTCATTTTTTAATTATTACTTAATATTAATTGGGTTTTAGTAGATAATCATAATAAAAAACTAAATTTGACTTCATAGCATTATAGAGCATGTCGAGAAGGTTCTGAAAATTATAATTTTATTTTTATAGACATACTGGTTCAGAAGTAGTAGGGATTTGAAGTTACTATGATGATCGGATCATATTAATTTACCATACGTACTTATATTTGTTGATCATTTAACATTGCACACCCCAGTCAATTATGCATAAATCATAACTGTAATCACAGATTAATAAAACTTATCTCCGATATATCAGACTGGATTATAAGCAAGCATGCAATGCTTTTTGAAAAAGTTAGTTACGTATCAGGTGTTTGAAATTTTAATTCAACATTGAGGTAACTTAGTTTAATTAATCTGTATATTGTCTTTCGCAAATATTACGAAATTATCACAAATTAGTAATCTTACGCAAGTTAAAAACTGGAGTTATAGTATATCTTAAACTCTAAAACGTAACTGATCTTTAGGGTGATACTTAGTTCGTCCTATATGAGTGACGCCAAGGAAAAAGCATTCCAATCATATAAATTTTATATGATTGGAGTGCCTTTTCCCTTGGTGTCATTCATATAATCCTGGCCATCCATATTATACTGATTTGCCGTAATCTCTATACTATACCTAATACATTTAAATTTAATTATACGCATAATATGTATGTTATCTATTTCTAATAACATACAGCATGCACATAAAATTAATACTGGTTATATATTAAATGAAATTATGGCTAAAGTTTGGAACTAGTTTTATTTTCATATATAAGAACCGACTTTAACATATGAAAGATAAAACCAATTTCAAACTCTAATTACGGGATTCAATGTTGTTTTAATAAATAATGTAGAAAGTTTAGATTGATATCAGGTATTTGGATCGTGAGATAAAAAGCTTTAATAAGCTTTTTTTAGCATTATTTCAAAAAAAAATTTTTTTACTATAAAAAAAAAAAGCCGCGTGCCTGCATCACTGACTACCATTTCATGATATGAAAACCAAGTATATAATTTTGTATGGCCTTAGTTGTTGAGATATTTTAATTTAAAAATTAAAAAAATTTCACTAAAAACAATTTGTCCCTTTTCTATTAACTCCTCATCATATATATAGAAAGTGGTTAATAAACAAAAATTATCAACTATTATAGTTTCTTGAAATTATTAAGATATTCAATTTATATGTCCATTTTTAATTCGGTCTTGTCGAGAAATCTTCTTGTAAGCATGTTTGTAAACAAGTTATTAAAATCAGACTCTGAAACCAAAAAGTCAATATTGGCCAAGTTCTCTGTATTAAAACAATAACCAAAGAGAATTAAGCTATAAGAATTTATCTAAATGCAAGTAATTATATTTCATTACACAATTTACTTACTATGTTAGGATTGCTCTCTTAATTTCAATTACATAAGCTATATATTGTAAACTGAAAGTGATTTTGTACTTTTTTTCTATTTCTCGCAAAGAGATCTCGTCAATTGCTGTTACAATATCTTTACTATTTTCATTGTTATTTACAATCTGGAATGAACAAACAATGTAAGTGAATTCTAAATATAGCAGAAAACTGATCATTATTACCTGTTATACTTCGTCGAAAAACAAATATATAATATCAGATATATTATTTTTAACAATCTTTATCTCATTTTCAAAGCTTTTCAACTTTTCAGTTCAATCTTCTGTAGTAAATAGTTGGCTTGTTTTTTTGTAGAAGCCTGTAAGATTGAGAATTCTCTAATAAACAGGGCTACAAGACCAAAAAGTAATTATTACAATTATTACACAACTACTACACAAAGATATAAAAAAAAAAAACTCACTCAATACATTTTTGTAATTCTGAAATTTTGTATCTATAGTTAGCCAATACTTGACTTATATTGGTTTCACTTGATAAAATTCAGTATTTAATTTGTTCTACACTCTCTGGTTCATTCTTTTCAACAAACTTTAAATTATCATTTTGGATAGAAACATCAATAAATGCTTGAGTACTTGTATTCGTTATAGGCAAGGAAAAGTCAGTCAATGTTTAAGTACTTATTGCAGGCAAGAAAGCATTAAATACTCATTGTAGACAAAGAAACATTAGTCAATACTTGAATACTCATGGTAGAATCTCCATAGTATTTAATATAGGATTTATCTTTTTCTTCGTTGGCATTTTCATCTTGTAACTATGTAAGATAGGACAAAAAAGTATCAGTCGATGCTTGAGTACTCGTTGTAGGCAAGTAAATAGTCAATGCTTGAATACTAATAGCAGAGTCATCATCTTCAATATAAAATTCATTCTTTTCATCCTTTTCTTGGTTATCTTTGTCATGTAACTGCACGAGATGAGTGAAACTTAAATACAGCTTTTCTTCTCATATATGATTATCTAATGTCTGTCTGTATGGCCCTTTTTTCTTACTTTTCCAGAATCCTGTTACTTTGGAGAAGTTCGCTATTGTCTAGAGTAGAGGAAAATAGTAGCTCGCAACTTTTTGTTTGTTTCAATATTACATTTGCATATGTACCACAAAATCCCTGATTTCTGTCTAAGCTTTGTTTTGCAAGTGTTAATTGATCAATTGCTCTTGGAAAAAACTTTTTAAATAATTAAAATAGATTGCATAAACTTGTGACTTCTCTTCTAGCTTTAAATTTAACTTATTATCAATTTGACTAAGACAATTATACAACCCAATATTTTTAGAAACCAACTTTCAATTTCAGTAAGTTACTACTGCTGCTTTAATTGGTCCTTTCCAGTAACTTGTCATTGCGTAAATTTAGATCTAGAGGAAAGATGCATTAAGAATATAGAAGAAACTTAAATATTTTTCAGGGATTAAGTCAATGCAATACATGATGAATATAAATAAAGAAGTGGATCACTATAAAAATAACTACCTCTAAATTGCTACCAAAATTCCAAATAGATCAATAGCACGAGTCAGAATAAACCAGAGCTTGGCTGGTATTACAGCTATTTTCATTATTCCTGAGACACCTGTAAAAAAATCAATTAAAAAATTTTTTGCCTGACAATTTTTCGGTATAATGAATTCAATAAAAATTATATTTTTAAATTCATTCAATTTTAATTTGCTATAATATTGATATAATATCTATGTCATAACTTAAATATATTTTTAAATTCATTCAATTAACAATAGTTAGCATTTGGTGTTATGCTAAATTACTTATCTAGGTAATTGCGATTATATTAATATTTAATTTAGATAATTAATCTTTCTTAAATTTAACTTCTTTAGTAATTTTGTGTTTTACTTATTGTATATATATATCTATTGCACATTTAATGCGCAAAGAGCAGTGTATCGAAGCATTGTGCTAGATTGCGCTCAAAAATTTTTGCTTATCAAACAGCAGTCATATATATATATAATTCTAAATAAAGATTAAAAAAGAAGTCCATTATTTAAGACCATATTAAAAAAAAAAATTTATTATATACATCTATTACTAAAGCAGAAAATAATCACTTGACCTTTTTTGGAAAAATAGAACAATTATTACTTCTATTTTTATTCTTATCAAACAAAACAAGACTTTTCCCATTTATTGTCTTTATTATTAATAACTACATTTAACTCTTATCTTCTTTAATTATTTATAGAGTTAGAATGCAGGTATTAAAAATTATTATTTTTTATATAATATAATTATAAGGTCCTTATTTCAGTTCTTGAGAGGTTTTTAATTCCATTTACTTACTGTATTTACCCGAAATAATGCGCATCTGCGCGTTATTTCAAGGGGATGCGCGTTATTTCAAGTACACGCATGGGCGTTATTTCGGGTAAAGGTTTAATTTCTACAAAATTGATGCATTATATATGTGTGATGCATAAAAAACTGGTATTTCTTAATTTTATATACAGCTTTTCCGATCTAAGTCAGATTTTTTGACTAAAAAATTCTAGATTCTGTTAGTTATCACAATTCGTCATTTTAGAAGATTATTAATTGCCATTTGGGGTGTGCATTATTTCGGGGACGCCTATAGGCATTATTTCAAAACCAATACACTATTTTAAGAAAATGCAATTTTCGAAATAACGCCTATGTGCATTATTTCGGGGGTCATTTAAAACCTGGCACCTTACGAAATTTTCCGATCATCGATTATCATCGGATAATCACGGGACATACCTAATCAAACTAACGATTTTTTTAAAATCCTAGCAAAGGTTTCTCACTAACTACTTGATTAAATTTTTTTATTTTAATTCTATACATTTGCAGAATTAAAATAAAAAAATGTTTATTGAATTTGGATTTATGGCTGT